CCCGCAAAGCAGAGCCCCCACGGCCGTCAGCACGGTGCTCGGCTCAGGGGTACGCGGATCCTGGTGCCCAGCCTGCTCTGGCCTAACGCAGGCAGGATGCCGGGGGAGGTGGGCTCGCAGGTGCCTCAGCCCGGGGACGGGACACCCCAGGCTGCAGGGTGCAGTGAGCAATGTGCAGCGCGTAATGTGCAGGCAGCAGTGCGCAATGTGCAGGCAGCAGTGCGCAGCGTGCAACGTGCAGGCAGGAGCGTGCAGTGGGCTGTGTGCTGGCAGCAGCAGGCAGACGGCTCTGTGCAGTGCGGAGCTGCAGCGGGCAGCATGCCGGTGGCAGCACACAGCGTGCAGCGCAGCGTGCAGCGCAGCAGGCAGTGCGCAGTGCGGAGGCACCCTGCGAGCGGCAGCAGAGGCACGGCACGCAGCCTCGGCCGGACCCTGCACACGCTGCGGGCAGCCCCTGCCCGGTCCTGCAGCGCGGCAGGACGTCGTGCCAGGGGCTGAGCCCAGGCCCAGCCAGCAGTCGGGGGGCCAGCCAGGAGGGGACATGCTGGTAGCCACCATCGGTGACAGCCATGGCTGGTGGCACACTGGGTGCCGGTAGGACCTCACAGCACCTGGCCGAGCATCAACCCCAGCAGGGACCAGGGGCAGCTGCCAAGGCAGCAAATGCCTGCCCCAGGGCAAGTGCCAGTGCCGGGACTAGAGCCGAGTGCCACCGCAGGCTGGCACAGCCGCGTCAGGGCTCGCCTTACCTTGACACCTTCAGAGCCAGCATGCAGGGCGTGCGCCCCACTGCCCACGCTCGCCTTCAGAGCCAGCGTGCAGGGCGTGCGCCCCACTGCCCACGCTCTGCCCGCTCCCCGAGCTGCGGGCAGAGGCCACGCTGCCCGTGCTGCCCAGGCTGCTGCGGTCGCCACCTGCACAGAGAGAGGAGATGCCGTCAGGGCATTGAGCCCCATGGCCAGGCTGGGGGATGCCGCAGCGTGGCCATGTCCCGCCAGAGCCACCGCCATGTCCTGGTACATGACCCCCCCCAGGGACAGGGAGGGTCCCAGCAGCGCACCCACCGTACCTGTGAAGGGTTTCCGCAGCACCCAGATCTCCTCCGTGGGAGCTGGAGCGCCCGATCCGCCCTGCGACGGTGAGAGGTGGGACGGGCTCATGTCGGCCCCGCGGGACCCTTGGTGGCAGAGCAGAGAGAGCAGCCGTCAGGCATGCGTGGCTCTGCGCGCTCGGGCTCGCATCGGTGTGGCACAGGGCGAGGCGACCCGCAGCCCCGGGGCCTGTCGCTGCCGCACTTGGGGAAAACCCCACAGCGAAGGTGTGGGGTCCCTGGCCGTGGCCGTGCCCAGGGATGTCCGCACTGTCCCGGGGGCCTGTCCCCCCCCGCCCCAAGCAGCTGGCACAGGGTGACAGCGACCAGCCCTGGGACCCTGTCCTGCAGGGCATCCCCTCCCTGCCACCAGCCGGGGACAGACCTGTGGTGGGATGTCCCAGTGCCCCAGCTCAGCCCGGACAGGGGACAGGGACTGTGTCGTCCCTGTGCGGAGCAGGATGGGGACATGACCTGGTGCGGGGGAGCAAAGGGAGCCGCGCAAACTTGAGCAGTGGGGAGCAGGGTCCCCCTCCCCACAGTGCCCCGGCCAAGACGGCGCTGGCCATGCCCCTGCAACTGCCTGCACCCGTCTGGGGGAGGACGCAGGGGCCACGTGGGGCCAGGCACCAGGTGCTGAACCCCCCGCGCTTCCCAGGGTGCCCCATGGCAGCTGGCGACAGTGGGTGAGAGGACCCGGCCCTCCTGGCGGGGCACGGCTCGAGGGTCACCCTCAAAGCACCGCTCCTTCACCGGCTCACCGCGCTGCCCGCCTCTGTCAGGTCCTGCTCGCACCAGGGCCGGCTGGGAACGGCCAGCGCTGAGCCCGGGGTTTAAAACAGCATCAGATGAGATGGACAACAGCCCTGCGAGGCCCGGTCCTGCCGCAGCCCCGCTGCCAGCTGCCGAGGAGCCCGGCTCAGCCCGGCCCCGCTGCCAGCCACCAGGTACGGGGCATTGCCACCCTGCCGCTGCCCAGGCTGTTTTCATTCGTTAAGCCACTCGCCCCATTAGCGGCCGGGCCGTAGCAGGGGGCGGATGGTACAAGGTGACAAAGTCACCGAAGGAGCGCGAGGGGGAACAAACGGCCACGCCACAATCGGGCTGGGACGTCCCTGAGCTGCACGTGCTGCGGTCACACCGAGAGGAGCCCGCGCTGCCCAGGCAGGCGTAAGGCTCAGTGCGACCCAGCAGGGAGAGAAAGCCCCGGGGAAAAGTTTTGCTCCCTTGTCTCCATCACCAGCATGACCAGCCCGGTGCTCTCCCAACACAACCTGCTGCGCCACCGCCACAGGGGCACATGCAAAGACCCCCAGCCCCCAGCCAGCTGGTGGCAGCCCCTGTGAGCATGGTGTGTGCTGCACTGCTGCAAACCCCCCTGCCAAATATGTGCTCTCCGGGTGCTCCCGACACATAGACCTGCAGCATCCGTCACCTGCCCGCGCCGCGGGGATGGTCCCCAGGGTTTAGCTGGGCACTGCCTGCGCTGAGCCAGCCCTGAGAGCATCCCCCAGGAAAGCATGCCCGGCACCGCAGCCCCTTCCCACTCTCAGCACGCAGCCCCGACCCGCTTAGAGCGGCTCGCTGGGTGTCGAACACCCTGCAGGGGAGGCTGCAGAGGGTGCCTGCGCCCGTGGCTCCCGGCCGGGCACCGCGCTGCCCAGCCCTGCCCTCTGGCACAGAGCCTGGAGAGTGTTTCTGGGGGTCCCCACACGCCCAGACAAGGGGGGGCAGGAGAGCAGGGGCCATGAGCAGAGTGCGGACAGCCGGCAGCACTGTGCTGCCTCCAGCCCTGCCCCGCAGCCAAGGACACTGGGGTGGTGAGGGTGGGATGTGCCGGCAGCAGAGCCGTGGGCCGCAGTGCTACAGCAGCACTGGAGACGGCGTGCAGGGGAGGGGGCCGACGGCATGCACGCGTGCACGCACCTGCACGCACTGCACGCACACGCCTGCCTGCATGCACACACACACATGCACACGCCTGCATGCACATACACGCACCCACATGCACGCACTTGCACACGCCTGCACGCACCCGCGTGCAAACACACCACGGCAAGGGGGAGAGAGGCCGAGCAGAAAGAAAAGACTCGATACACACTTTAAAGGAAAAGAAAGAAATCCATCGAGAGCACGAAGCGAGCGGTGAACTACCTTGTCCGTAACGCGGCTCGTCGGCACTGCTAGGGGAGAGCCTGTGATAGCCAAAGGAACTGAAAAGAGTCTGATGGGAATGTGGTGGTGGAGGTGGAGGTGGAGGCAGGGAATGGAACGGATGGGACGAGGCGTCACCGTTTAGCACAGCAGCCCCGTAAGCCGGGAGCGGGATCTTTTGGTACTGTTGGGGGATTGTTACAGTCTCCCATGAACCTGATAATAAAACATAACAAGAGACAAAATGAAAAGAATCAAAATAATAGAGACACGCTCAGCGCCACCAAAAAAAAAAAAGAAAAAAAAAGAAAGGAAAAAAAAAAAGCAGCAAACAAAAAAGCAACCAAAGGAACGTGGAGAAGCCAGAACCGAGACCCAACCGATGCGGAGCCGAACCAAGGAGCAGCAGCGGGAGCTCAGCGCACAGCCCAGCCCGGTGGCAGCATACAGCCCGCGGGCACATCCCGCAGACCCGCCACGGCTTCCCGGCAGGCACGGACGCCGGGGGAGCCCCGTGCTTGAGGTACAACATCACTGTGGGGCTCCCGGTGCCATGGGGCTCCCACAGCCGGGCTGCCAGGGGTCCTGCTCCCCACGAAGGCATCCTGGGAGGAGGGGGGCTGCAGGCACGGCTGCGCTGGGGGCTGCAGCACCAGCACCCCCATGCCCAGCTGGCCAAGCCCTGGTGCAGCCGCCGCCTGCGCCCCACGCTGCCACCCCGCTGCACGGGGCCGAGGGCTGCAGCTGATGGGATGGCTACGAAACCCCACACCCTGGCAAACGCTGCTGCGGAGCCAGCTGTATCCCAGGAGCCACGGACCTCATCCCCGTGGTACTGGCACACGACCCACACCCGGAGGGCGGCTCTGCCCCTGCCCGTCCGGCACGTGGCACCTCTGCAGCCTCCGTGGCCGGTGCGGCAGTGCCCGGCAGCCAGCAGGCACTTGTGTCGCCGCTCCCCTGGGACCTTGTTCAAGTGCCGCCATTCCCTGCCCGTGCCCCAGCGACGTGGCCGCCCCCAAGATCGCGTGGGGCCAGGCAGCTCACGGCTGCGGGGGGGGGGCAGTCGATGTGGGGCCTTTCGCCTTTCGGGGCCTTTCAACGCTGCCCGCAGAGGCACCAGCCCCATTGCACCGCTTCTGGCAGCGGGCACAGCCACAGGCCATCCCGGGGGACCGCGCACCCCACTGGGAGCCTACAGGGATGGGGATAGGGACAGGCAGCCGCAGGGCAGGGGAGCAGGGTCCAATCCCTGAGACGGCCCCTGGCCAGGGAGAGGGTCCCCATGGGGCAGCGCCGGGTCCCTGGCACCGGTGCCCAGCCCCCCCTGCTCAGACCCCGAGCACCAGGTCCTGTGGCCTCACCGCTGTGCCACACACCCCCCCAAACCACAGTGATGACCCCGGCTCTCCCCATGCACCAACCTCCCGGCACCACAAATGCCTCCCCCAGCCCAACGCCAGCCTGGCCTTGGGGCTGCCCCGTGAGCACCCCGGGGCTGCTGGCACCAACCCCCACGTGCACCAGGTGGGCACCGACCCCACAGGCACAACAGGGGCAGTGACCCCGCACACTCGGTGGGGGCACCAGCCCCACATGCACAATGGGGACACTGACCCTGCACACTTGATGGGGACACCATCCCCATGCACTTCACGGGGCGCCGACCCCACATGCACAACGGGGACACCAGCCCCACACACTCGAAGGCAGTGTCCCCATGCACACGGCGGGGACACCGACCCCACATGCATGACGGGGGCATCGCCCCAGCTTGGCTTCACTGGCTGCACACCCCCATCCCCACCCCACCCCCCGACACCCCAGG